TTAGAACATAAAACACTGAACATCAGTCAAAGAAGAAGAGTGATCTTTGAGAGACAGGAAATAAATGAGGAAAGGCCAGTGAATGCCTTGAGAAAGTGTGCAGGTCACAACATAGTGAGCGGAAACCCAGCAAAGTCCTTGAGTTGAAGAGACAGAGCTGAGAGTCTAGAAAGAAAAAAGCCAATAGACACTACAAAATGGAGTACCAGAGAAGAGAAAGCTACACATGGATAGAACACTAAAGTTCCACAGAGGGTACCCCCTTCAGCTTTCAGGAGTCTACTAATTGGTTCATGTGTGTGAAAAAACTACCCGAGACCAAAGAAAGAACCATCTGAGAGGATTATAGAGAATAGTGTCTAGTAGACTGAGTACTGCTCCAATCATGAAAGACCCAAAATGGATCAAACTTTCCAAATAATTTAACTACATATCCAAACAAAGATTAAGTTGAGTTATAGAAATATAAAAATATGTGGCAACCAGTAAGATAAAATTGACAAATTCTGCCAACCAATCAAAGACTAGCAGGCATGTAAAAAAGCAGGAAAATATAACGAAAATTGAGGAGCTATATCAACCATTCAAATCTGATCCAAAACTGATAGAGACGCCAAAATTAGGGGACATGGAATTAAAAGTTATTAAAACTGTACTCCATATGTTCAAAAAGCTAACTAAAGACATAGAAGATGTTTAAAAAAAGCCCTAATCAAGTTTATAGAGCTCAAAATGACAATGTCCGAGGATAAAGAATTAACTGGATGAGATTAATGGCAGATTAGACATTGTAGAAGATTAGTACACTTAAAGACACAGAAATAGCAACTATCCAAAATGAAATACAGAGAGAAATAGGAATTTTTTAAAATGGAAAAGCACATCAGTGACCTGTGGGAGGATTTCAAGCAGCCTAATATATGTATAATGGGAGTCTCTGAAGAAAAGGAGAGTGAACCAGAAAAATCAGTTAAAAAATAAAGGCTGAAAATTTTCTGAATTTGATGGAAACTACATTCACAAATCCAAGAACTTCGGTGAACACCAAACATAAGAATCATGCAGAAAACCACACAAAGGCACATCATAATCAAATTATTGAAACCAGTGATATCAGAAAATCTTAAAAGCAGCCAGAGAAAAAAAGGCACATTACATACAGAGGCATAAAGAAAAAGATGACAGCAGATTTCTTGACAAGAACATAAAGACCAAAAAGGCAAAACAGAAGTATATTATTGTAAGGTTCTTATACTGTATGTGAAGTGCTGAATATTACTTAAATGTAGACTATAAGTTAAAAACCTGTATATGGATGTTCATTGCAATTCATAAATAATAGCCAAAAACTGAAACCAACCCAAATGTCTATCAACACAGGAATGGATAAGCAAATTGGAGTAAATTCATACCATAGGGTCTACTAACAATAGAAAAAAATGTTGATTCGTACAACAAAATGGATGAATCTTAAAATAATTATACCGAGAGAAAGAAACCAGACAAAGAGCACATACTGTATGATTACATTTATATGAACTCTAGAGGACACAAACTAATCCTCAGAGTCAGAGAACAGATCAGTGGTTGCCTGGTTGTAATGAGGGACAATACAGATTACAAGGCACACAATAAACTTTTAAGAGTGATGGATATCTTGATTGTGGTGATGGTTTCTTTCACATATGTAAAACATTAAATTGTACACATTAAAATATGTGTAATTTACTGTATATAAACTATTCCTCAATAAAGCTGCTTAAAAAACAATTTTGGACTTAAATTTAGGTTAAAAACAAAAAATATGTAGACTATCTACAGTGCTCTGGCTCCACAGAGTAAAAATAAAATAGATGAAAGCTAGAACTAATAAAATACTTATAATTTTTAAGGGTTAAGTTGGATCACAGAAACCAACTACTCAAATACTTTCTTATTAAAGACTAGAGGCCTGGTGCACGAAATTAGGCATGGGTAGGGTTCCTAGGTCTGGCTAGCGATCAGGGCTGATCAGGGCCTTCTGGCTGCCAGCCAGGGCCTCCCTTCCCCAAGCTGCTGGCCGGGGTCTTCCTTCATTTTGCACTGCCCCCTGGTGGCCAGCACACGTCATAGCGAGCATCGAACTTCTGGTCTCCCAGTTGAACTCCCGAGGGGGCACTTTGCACATAAGCCTTTTATATCCTACTAGAGGCCCAGGGTACAAAATTTGTGCATGGGAGGTGAGGAGGGGGGTGGGTTCCCTCAGCCCAGCCTGCACCCTCTTCAATCTGGGACCCCTCGGGGGATGTCTGACTGCCGGTTTCGGCCCAGGGATCGGGCCTAAACTGGCAATCGGACATCCCTCTCACAGTCCTGGACCACTGGCTCCTAACTGTTCACCTGCCTGCCTTCCTGGGCCACAAATCTTGTGCACTGGGCCACTAGTCCTCTATAATAATAAAAGTGTAATATGCTAATTAGACAAGATGTCCTTCCAGACATCCTTCTGGATGAAGCCGGGGCTGCAGCCATGGGATCAAGGCAGCCAGTGCGGCTGCAAGGGAGGGATCGAGGCAGCCGGGTCTACTCTTGCATGAATTTCATGCATCAAGCCTCTAGTATATAATAAAAGCCTAATATGCAAATTGTCCCCTGGGGCAGTCATTCGACAGGATGACCAGGAGTTCAACCACTTGCTATGATGTGCGCTGACCACCAGAGGATGGTGCGGAACATGGCGGGCATCGACAATCGAACTTCCAGTCTCCTGGTCGAACTCCTGAGGGGATACTTTGCACATTAGCCTTGTATATCCTATCCTATCTAATAAAGAGGGAATACGCTAATTGACCCTCACACCATCATAAAGATGGCGGCGCCCACAGCCACAAGATGGAGGCGCCCAGTCCCCTCAGCCCCACCCGGGTGCCTGTCTCTGGAGTCCCCCAGTCCCCTCAGCCTCCCGGCCACCCAGGGCTGGCCCAAGGCACAGGCAAGCCTCAGATGGCATCTGCCCAGCTGCCCAGGGCCAGCCCAAGGTGCAGGCAAGCCTTGGATGGTGGCTGCTGGGCCACCCGAGGCTTAGGTAACCAGGGCTGGCCAAGGCTTGCGCTGCCGGCAGTAGCAGCAGCAGAGGTGTGATGGGGTGTTGCCTTCACCTGATTGCTGGGTGGCCTCCCACCTGAGGGCTCCCGGACTGTGAGAAGGGGCAGGCTGGGCTGAGGGACCCACCTCCAGTGCATGAATTTTCATGCACCGGGCCTCTAGTATAATCCTATATAATAAAAGCCTAATATGCTAAGTTTCCAGTTGTCTGGTTAGCCATTCAACCAATCAAAGCATAATATGCTAATGATATGCTAAGGCCATTCAACTGCTTTCTATGACATGTACTGACCACCAGGGGCAGACGCTTGGACCAGTAGGTTAGCTTGCTGCTGGGGTACGGTCGATCAGGACTGAGCAAGACGGGCTGGACACACCCTGCAGCCCTCCCATGGTCCCTCCCAAGCTGGCCAATCTCCTGCATCCCTCCCTGGCCCTGATCGTGCAACTGTGGGGTCTCTCAGCCTGGCCTGTGCCCCCTTGCAATCTGGAACTCCGCGGGGGATGTTGGAGAGCCAGTTTCGGTGCAACAGTGGAATGACCCATCACTATGACATGCACTGACCACCAGGGGGCAGACACTCAATGCAGGAGCTGCCTCCTGGTGTTCGGTGCACTCCCACAGGGGGAGCACTGTTCAGCCAGAGCGGGCAGTGGCAGTAGTGGGAGCTTCTTCTGCCTCTGTGACGATGCTAAGGATGTCCCCAGGGGAGTGGGCCAAAGCCGTCAGCCAGACATCCCCTGAGGACTCCCAGACTGCAAGAGGGTGCAGGCTGAGCTGAGGGATCCCCACAACCCAGTGCATGAATTTTGTGCACTGGGCCTCTAGTATATAATAAAAGCCTAATATGCAAATTGTCCCCTGGGTCAGTCGTTTGACAGGGAGACCGGGAGCTGACCACTAGGGGGCGGCACAAAACATGGCAGGCGTTGGCAACGCGGTGCTGGCAGGCGGTGCTGCTGCCCAGCTCCCAGGCACTGAGGGAGCCAAGCAGGGGGCCTGGCCCCGATCAACTGTGGCGCAGGCGGGATGGTAGAGCAGGTGAGGGTGTGGTGCCAGGCAGGGCTGCGAGGCTGCGGGGCTGCGATGCTGGGGGCGTGAGCTGGGCCCCATCCCTGCAGGCCACCCTGAGGAACCCCACCCATGCACGAATTCGTGCACCAGGCCTCAAGTCTATAGATAAAAGATATCCCAGAAAATTAGTGACTTGCCCAAGGTCTTACAGCTTCAGTTAAAGGCTTAATAAACTGTTTTAAGATCCACAATGGCAGGGATTGTTATTTAGGCCACCACTGTATCCTTTTTACCTAGTACAATGCCTGGGACATGGTAAGAGTTCAATAAATACTTGTTAAAAAGGAAGGTAAAAACGAAGATAAAAGGAAAGGAAATCTCCCTTGCAATATGACTGAAAGTATCTCCCTATCTTCAATTTTCTAATCTCTAACACAGGTGAGAAAATTAAGCAGTATCTTTAATATCATAAATAGAAGAGAATAAATTATATTCCATATTTTTAGCTTACTGAATATTTTATTATATTTGAATGCTTAAAAATTTCTAATTCATGTTACCAACTCTTGAACAGGCAGAAGAATAGAAAATACTCCATTTATGAAGATTAGTGACATTTTTAAGTTTTAATCCTCACCTGAGGATATGTTTTATTGATTTTAGACAGAGAGGGAGGGAGGGAGGAAGGAAGGAAGAGAGAGTTAGAGAAACATTGATGTAATAGAGAAACATTGATTGGTTGCCCCCCGACAGGGGATTGAACCCACAACCTAGGTATGTGCCCAGACTGGGAATCGAACCCCCAATCTTTATTTTGGTGTTCAGGATGATGTTCCAACCAACTGAGCCACCTGGCCAGGGCAACATTTTCAAATTCTGAAAATTAAGGAAAAGTACTTACCAAAAATTTCTCCATTTTTTGCATATTCTGTCACAAGGTACAACATGTTTTTGGTCTCCATTACCTATTGATAAATAATTCCGTATTAATCTGATAGGAAAGAATTGAAATTTGCCACATTTTATAGAGTTACTTATTTTAAAACTACTAATAAAAGTGTCAAAGGTATGAACAATTCAGAAGCTGGCCAAGTATAAGACACATTATCCTTATGCTAACACTCTGGTGAAAAATCTAGATCCTTGCTCTTCCAAGTGTCATCCATGGACCAGCAGAGGCAGCACTGCTCAGGTATCTTAGAAATAAATGTAGGCTCTCAGGCCCCACCCAGATCTACTGACACAGAATTTATCTTTTAACAAAATCCCCAGGTGGTTATTATGCACATTCAAGTTTAAAAAATGCTAATGTAGGTAACTGGAGTTTTGAAGTTCAATTTTTTACCACCTCCTCACTGACTTTTCTAGCCCTGTGTGATACGGGAGACTCTGATCAAGGAAAGGAGAATAAAACACAGCTCAGTTTATCTGGCACAATGTGATATTCCTCCTACTATACTTTAATACTGTAACAAGTATTATTATTTTAAAACATGTTCAAAAGTTTCTTCATAACTCCACCGCTATATATACTTTTATTTAAATTAGTTTTTCTAGGTTCAGAAAAGAAGCCTGTCATTGTCATAAACTTTATTTTTCAAACTATACTGAACTGAAAAGAAATGAATTTACAAATTTAAAACTGATTGAGTTTTAGATTGCCTCTCTGTAACACTTACCATTTTACATACTGGCACATACTAATAGCATAAAATTGAACTGCTATCTACTAAACAGCTGAAGCAAATTTGCTTTAACATGTAGGTGTAGGACTACCCCCTATGAGACCAGAAAACTAAGAGCCACCTACAATTTGGGTCTAAACAAGTCAAACAGCAAATCAATTTACCTGATCATTTAGTTCAAATAAACATAGAATTATCATGTGAAGCTTCATGTTTTAACCTCAGTTTGGCTTATGGGTCATCAGAGACTTCTAAGAATGTGATTATTTTTTTATAAGTATCCTCTTCAGAAATTTTTTTTAAAAAGTGCAAAGGGGCCTGGCTGGCGTGGCTCAGAGGTTGAGCATCAACCTATGAACCAGGAGGTCATGGCTCAATTCTTGGTCAGAGCATATGCCTGGGTTGCAGGCTGGATCCCCAGTGGGGGGCGTGCAGGAGGCAGCCGATCAATGATTCTCTCTCATCATTGATGTTTCTATCTCTCTCTATCTCTCCCTTCTCTGAAACGAATAAAAAATATATTTATAAACTAAAAAAATTTTAAAAAGCGTAAAGGGAGAAATACTCTGGTATACTATACATTTGACCTAAGAGGGCCTCTAGGGTTTTAGAACTTCAGGAATTGTTTTGAGTGGCACACCACAGTCTCTCATTTTTAGGTAATGCTAATGCTAATGGTCCCACATCTCTTTAACTGCAAATTTCTATCAATAAAAAGTTGTTTAGCTAAATATGTATATGTGTATGTACATATGTATACATAAAATATGTATCTGCCTTTTAAATATATAAAGAGATACAAATTACATACTCGTGCCACTGTCTAAATACAATAGGTACATATAGTCTAGCATACTGTGACATTTTAGTTTGAAACTAATTTTCCAATATAAATATTCCACACCTTAATGAATGAAATTATTATAAGTGTTTGGTATTACATTACCATTCTTAAAGATGAAATACTCTTTAAAAATATGAGAAAATCTTCCTTTTAAAAAACATGGTTTTCAATTAAAATGGGTACAGTTTCTTACAAAAATTATATTTTAATAAAGTTGTTTTTTAAAAAATGGCTCAGTTACTTTATCTAATATAACAACCCAAATAAAACATAAGATTTGGCTCTATGTATTACAAATATGTCACTAAGTAATAAATCATTTTTGGCCTTTGTATTTAATAAAACAATAGCAATATATTTTTTAAGTAAGCAAAATTCCCATGTCCTCATTAATAGTACCACCACCAAAACCCAGCAGGTTTAAGATGGTATCACAAATGCACAACTGAGCTTTTAATTAAAAAAAAATTTTAAATATATTTTTATTGATTTCAGAGAGGAAGGGAAAAGGAGAGAGCGATAGAAACATCAATGATGAGAGAGAATCATTGATCAGCTGCTTCCTGCACGCCCCTACTGGGAATTGAGCCCGAAACTCGGACAAGTGACCTGACTGGGACTCAAACCATGACCTCCTAGTTCATAGGCTGATGCTCAACCACTGAGCCACACCGGCCAGGCAAGCTTTTTAAATAAATAACTTACAGTATGAGAGAAGCGTTAAAATTAAGCTACAAGTTTTTTTTTGTTTTTAAATATATACTTTATTGATTTATTACAGAGAGAAAGGGAGAGAGATAGAGATCTAGAAACATCTATGAGAGAGAAACATCGATCAGCTGCCTCCTGCACATCTCCTACTGGGGATGTGCCCGCAACTCAGGTACATGCCCTTGAACCGGAATCGAACCCGGGACCTTTCAGTCCGCAGGCCGACACTCTATCCACTGAGCCAAACCGGTTTCGGCTACAAGTTTTTATTTTCCCAATTTTTTATTTGAATATAGAAAGGTGGTTCTATTCAGTTTAGTAAAAACATGACATCCTTTTTTAATACGTTGAAAAAACTATCATAAAAGAGAAAAATGATGATGCAAAATAGAGAACTGAATGTGAGAAGCATGGAGAGTTGTAAGGCTAAGTCATACCTGATAAAGTTTGATTATGTGAGGATGGTCTAACATTTTCATTATTTGTACTTCTCGGTAGATTTTCTCAAGGTTCACTGCATCCAGCTGAGATTTATCTATAATTTTTATCGCCACCTGCATCCTATATAAAAATAAATACAGTTAGTATAGAATGGTTAACATTTTCCAGTTAGAATCTTTAATAAATGATATCTGAGACTTTGCCTGTAGGTTCCTATTACAATAATAGCTAGATTAAATTCAATGCTCATTTATTCATTCAACAAATAGTTCTTAAACATCTACTATGTGTAAAACACTGGTATATTTTGTTCGGTAGTGTCTTCAATGTGCTATGAAGAATAACCCTACAAAGTTACTTTAATAAAACATATTCCCCTTTCAATACAAATGAAATGCCTTTGTACTCCATTTATAAATTAAATAAAATCTCAGCAGTTTCAACTAGTTATTATCCCACCACAAGGTACCTATAAATAAATGATCAGCCAACTAGAACACAGTTTCTATTGTGCTAAAATGAAATATATATACACACACACACACACACAAGGCTAAGTGACCGACTGTACATCTGTCCAACGAACCGGCCAGTATATATGACGCACACTGGCAATTTAAAAATAAACATTGACTCGCACATGTGCGATACATATAAAGCTCTTGCCAGCGCCTTAGCATGCGTGTGTTGCTTTCTCTCGAGTTCAAAGAGCGTGTGATGTTAATGTTGTAAATACTTCATCACAAGGGAAATTAGTCAAGCACTCTGAAAGTGTTTTTACTCTTAATGTGGTATACAGGGAGATATCTGCATAATCAACTTATCAGTCATTGTTTTTATAACATGTTTTTGTTGTTTTATATCATGTCTTTGTTGTTTTTATATCATGTTGTTATTTATTAATTAATTTATATATTATTTTCATATACATTTTACTAATTTTCTTTCATCTCTGACACTTCTATTATAGAGAAAGGGTGAGTAGCAATATTAAAATATTTCTTCTAATTTCCTTTTAATGTGCAGGAATCCATGCACCAGGCCACTAGTTTTTCTAGAAAAGCCAAGTGATAGGTTCAAAAGCTAATATAAATTATAAAAATTCATCTCCATGAAACTACCCATTGGATTAAATTTTTTAAGATATATCTTTATTGATTTCAGAGAAGAAGGGAGAGGGAGAGACAGAAACATCAATGATGAGAGAAAATCACCAATTGGCCGCTTCCTGCACACCTCCCACTGGAGACCGAGCCTGCAACCCCGGGCACGTGCCCATGACCAGCATCGAACCTGGGACACCCTGGTCCGCAGGCCAACGCTCCATCCACCAAGCCAAACCAGCCAGGGCTGATTTAAATTTTGTTCTAAAAAACAAAGTGCAAAAACTCAAATGTTAGTAATTATACTAAATTTTGACTTTCATAACAAAATCTGATTTTTAAAAATGTGGCCTCTCTCTGTTATAACTAGATAGGAACCCAAACCCTCCCAAGGTTAATACTTTGAAGGAGCTGCATTTGAAGATGAATAACTAGGTAATCAGAAATCAACAATCATGTACCTTTTTTTCATGCAATCAAAAAAACCCAATTTTTAAAAATTAGTATATCTTTGGTTAGGAAATAAACCATTCTCACTTAAATAAAATTTTCAGATAATTAGACACCACCCAAATTTAATTGTAAGTTCTGAAGAAACTCTAAAATGTACTTTTCATTCTTTGTATGTATTCTGAACATAATTCAGTTGTATGTTGTTTCAGGGTAATATTTAAAATATTGATACTGTATGCACGATAATCTAATAGGGCTCAGCTTGTCAATTCCCTCAGACCCTTGATTATACAATTATTTTTTTCTTCTTTCCTTATAGCTACTCTGTCCTTTGCTTGTAAGGTTTATTTCTTTTCTTTTTTAAAAAAATATATTTTATTGATTTCTTACAGAGAGGAAGGGAGAGGGACAGAGAGTCAGAAACATCGATGAGAGAGAAACATCGATCAGCCGCCTACTACACACTCCCCACTGGGGATGCGCCTACAACCAAGGCACACACCCTTGACCGGAATCGAACCTGGGACCCCTGAGTCCACAGGCCGATGCTCTATCCACTGAGCTAAACTGGTCAGGGCTGTAAGGTTTATTTCTTACCTTTGTCTATTTCTAATTTGCTGTCACAGCTTGTTTTCTGATTTGAATTAATTGTAATCCACAGAAGAACTCAAGTTCCCAAGAGAAATCAGATTACTAAATATATTCATAAAACTAAATTTTTCCCTAAGAGCTTCTTTGCTAGGCAGTTTTACAATAGTTATTTTGATGTTTGTTAGTATTTTGCTTCTGTAATCAAAATATTCTAGAAAGTAGAAAGTGCTAAACTTTGCTAGAAATGAAACTATAGGCACAGTTATTATCATTTACTTTGGGTAAAAGTTAATCATTGTACGTTTTTTTTTTTTAACTAAACAGACTTAATGCCTTAACCTAATTTTAAAGAGAGTGAAAGGGAGGGGGAGAAACCTCAATGTGAGGGAGACACATCAATTGGTTGCATCCCGCACGTGCCCCACCGGGGCCAAGGATCGAGCTAGCGCACGCCCCATACGCCAAGGATCGCTAGCAACCTAGGCATGTGCCCTTGACTGCAATTGAACCCGGGACCTTCATGCCAAGGACCGCTCTATCCACTGAGCCAAACCAGCTAGGACTACTTTGGGTAAAAGTTGACAGATAAAAAGATAACTCTATACTTGAATATTTTCAATATCCCTTAGGATGGTAACATGGGCATATTTTGTCTCCCCATTTTAGCTGTCTCTTTATATTTGCTTCTACTAGTATGTATTAGGTAGGACTGTTATGCCTCCCATTCTTTGTGGGCTGGCCTAGTGTAGAAAGTATCTTGAGGGGCCCAGTAGTGCAGTCTCTTTGTTCAGCTGAGCTGGATGCTCTAGGAGTGCCTCTTGTGTGCATTGTTTGGGTTCTCCTGTTGTAATTGGGACTTGATTGTTGATGTCCCGTTTGTGGGAGGGATCTCCCCTCCGACTTGCTACCAGTGAAGTTCAACCCCAAGGTTGTCGTGCCAGCTGTCCAGTGGTCGGGGACTCCTTAGCCCAGAGGCTGGGTCTGCATTGAGTCTCACGCCTTGATTTCCCCTGTTCTGAGCTGTACTTCCCTCACTGAGCTAGTCCTGCAGGTGTCAGCTGCAGGTGTCAGCTGCAGGCGCTTGGGCTCCCGCTGGCTTTTGCCTGGCTGAGCAGTCTGGGATGGGTCTGCTGTGGAGACCCAAACTGCTGTTTCTGACTAATTATATATGTATGCATTGTTTTAAAAATAACCTTCAGTGAATTTATTGGAGATTAGAAAAATTAATATTCCTTCTGCAAGTGTTTAAAAAGAA